GTCACCCACCCAACTACTAACCGGCCGGCGTGTGGCTTAAGTACGGCTGAGCGGACGGGAAGCCCTGTTTTCCACACCCTATGGTCGTATGTACTCAACAGACGATTGAACAAGAGTTTTAGCGCCCAAGCGCATAGTATTTCTTCCTCAGTTGCAACCCTCCTGGATCAACCGCCACAACCAGAGGAGCTAACCTCCCGCCCAACACAAACCGCATATACCGAGTCAAACCACACGCTAGTAGAGCAGGAAGATGCAACAGACGAACGGAGATGTAGACATACTTCTGCAGCGCGGGGGGAGATATCAATCATCAGTGGGTTGCCATCCTCGCCGGTTCGCGGATTCTGTAGGACCTTGGTGGCGGTTCTGATGGACGAAGAGGAAAAGGCGCAGTGCTGTTGAACACGCATGAATGGGGAGATAGTTCTCCGTGGGGGATTTAGTCGGATCGTCTTTGACTCGCAGCTTGCATAGGATAGCTGCCGGCGGGGGGTAGAGTCGCCGAGCGATGGGGAGATGCTCAACCGGGTTTTTGAGGATGGGAGGACTGGAACTCCTCTGCGGGGGAACTGCTGTCGCCATAGCTGGCGAGCCGCGGAGGATAACATCGATCGAGACATAGTCGGGACCGAATGATGTTAGAAGGCGAAGTTGTTTTTGTAGACAGCAAATGCAGTGAAAGTTGAGGATTGATTATCGATCAACTGTTAGTCATATGGATCCGCATGACGTTATTGGTCGATTTCTAGCAAGTCCCGGGCAATTCGGTGTCGGAGTTTTAGGAATATTTATACCTTAATCTATATTTTCATATACGTATTGTTTTTTCATAGAGTAAATAGCCAAGATTCATGATAAAATAACAGATACATGCAAGGCTGCGAGAATGTCGGCTAATAGAAGCGAGCCGCTCCATTTTCGGCCTTCCTCATAGCATGACCAAAAATCAAGCTTAGGACGAAAGGCATGATAGCTTATAGAATCCTTTCCCTGGGCCTAGAAAATACTTCGTTAATTCGCGAACCATGAAACTATTTGCCTTCATGGGGTCATTCCAGTCTTTTGGTAAACTGCAACTCTTTTGTGTCACCTTCGTGGTATACGAGCGAAATAGTATCACGTCACGAGGTCAATATTGAGAAAGGAAGAACAGGTTCCGCCTTAGGGATACCAGGTTGCTGAAACACTCAAGAAAGAAGCGTATGCGGATGGTAACTAGGATATGGGAATGATCGGCGATAAAGCATTCGTGCAAAATGTATCACTTGCCCCGTTCGTCGACTGCGGTTTTGAGCAGGCCTTGACGGTAAGAAAATTTCTTACTAGAGCCGTTCTTCAACTACTTCACTATCTGTTCGCGGCCCTGAAGGATCAATGAAATACAGCGGTATATGTCTACTACAACTGCCCAAAGTGAGCACCGTCTCTTTGGCGGTGGTAGTATGCGCATCAACATTCCAAATTCCTTTCGCGGATGCAGTTTCATAAGCCTGCCCAAAGAAGAGCTGGAAGAGGTCATCATGTTGTTTATCTTTCGCGAGCTGAGGAGTATCTGGGGACAGGCTCGAAGAAGATGAGATAGTTGCTGTGGCACTATCAACGTTCGGGACTATCCAATCTGCCTAGCTTGTCACAATTGAATCTAAACCTAGGGAGGAGGGTTCCTTGCGTTCTTGTTATGCATATTCCGCTGACGTGATGCATGAATGTGGTCGAAAGTAAACTTTTGTGCGGTCTCTTAGGGCCTCGTTATCGGAGAGGCGTAGCTTGACGTGGTTTCAAGGACTCAGGAGAAATCATTAATACTTTAGCAATGCTTATACCACGGGATGTACTTATTCAATTCTAGAAGACAGAGCCGTGGGCGTGGTTGCGGTTGCATAGAGCACTAGGAATTCGGCTATTTTATCAATGATGCGCAAGCTGTCCAGCGTCTCCACGGTTGGGTGAGCGAGAAAGAAAGAAAAAGGTACATGACTGCCCGCGAGAGGGTAAGCTCGAGTCAACCTATGTAAGAACGGCTACGAAAATTTAGCTCCCCTACCGGGGGGGGGTTTAGGTCGCCCTATTCTTATAGAACAAACCTTGGCGAGAAGCGACACAGATCTATTGTAAGCTGGGATTGAAAAAAAAGGATATGTTTCTAACATATTATTTGCGGAAGTGACAATCAAGCTTTGAGAACTAGCACTAGTATAGGAGGTACCTTTGCCAATTGCGCTCCTGGAGAAGAGGTGTACATAAATCTCTTGCTAGGAGATCATCATATGGATATAAATCCTTCAACTTCGATGCTCTACGCTCTCAGTAACAATGTTCTAGAGAAGCTGAGCATCAGAATCGTAAAAGTGCAGGCCAAAGAGTTTACTAGCCATGTATGTTCGCCATTTGTCTATCACGAAGGGCGTTCACAAGCCGTAACGACCAAGAACTCCTCAGAGGGCTAACCAGCAAAGGAACATCTATGAGATCTTTTTCCAGTAGTGGACCATGAGCTTTTATGACTGCTTTGCTCGGCGTCAGCCAATGATGTACTTTTATTCGTTCCTTCAAAGTAACGCCAAGAGTCAGATATTTAATCTCCATTTAGCATAGCGTTATATTTAATTCCTAGTCGGGGTTGATGGTCACCTGAAATATGCGGGCTTGAATTAGTGTGAAGGTAAAGCATAAGTATCTTTATGATTAGAATGCGGGTAAGGAAGGGCCCAAGATGAGTGAAAGAATGAAAATGTGACATTTCTAACTCTCACATGATCCTAGATACTCCCAGCCCCTGCAGCCTATAACAGCTTGAGCATTGGTGAATGCTTCAACTATAAGGCATTTTACTTATCCATCTCTGCCCAAAGGTAGCTCAAAATTATACTAATATGTAAGAGGCTCATAGAGCTAAATTATATGCTTTTCTAACAAGGGAATTTATCAAATGTTTGAGCGCATCATGACTATGCAAATGAGGCCGAGCTATAAATTAATCAGTATAACTACTAGCCAGCTCGATTAAGATATCCTATCTATAGTTTCAGAACAACTAGATCTTATAAACCATAGCTTACTAGGCAAATAAATTAAAGGGAATCATATCATTCGTTTCTAACGGTTATCAAAATTTTATAAGAGATCCAGATCAGACACGAGCATAATTCCTCCCACAATACCTATTCAGCGTGTTAATTGAGCTGCAGTCGAACACCATGGCCCCCTCACCATTTCCGATCCCCCTTTAACGAGCGGAATTCTCAATACTTGCTGAGTCCGATAGTGTGGAAGAAGGCATGGGCAAATTGTCCCTACTAGGTATATTAGTGCACCGAAAAATGGGAAAATAGGTAAACAGCCAATGTCCAGCTGATGCCCAGAGAGGAGAAGCCTTTGATTCCTACGGCAAAACTCCAAGTCCGCTCCAGTAACCGCAATGGGCACCCACATCTCGGCCTAGATAATAGTACTGCTTTTGAGTTAGGGTTATGGTGCATCAGTATCTCCTAGTGCAATGTGAACAGCCCTTCTCCGACCTCGCAGCTATGCAGTGCGGTCAGGTTATGGTATGATGCCAAGAGGCATAAATTAGAAGATAAATTATCCTTTGCTTACCACCCATGCAGAAGTCTATTTAAGGACCATGCATTTGTCTAGTTTGAAATGTCAGCATCACTCACATCAATACTTCCCCCAACCTGGTATTTTATATTTTTGTCAGTCTGTCTTTATATATAATTCCCCTTGAAGCCAGGAACTCGCAGTGAATCGATAAGGATCCAATTCATTTCTGCTTTCACCGCCCCCGGTTAGCATCGGCACCTTGATAGAGGGGCAAAGGCGGTGGGGCGATCGATAGAGGTTTTTCTGCAGGTAGATAAAGCGTTCCAGAGCAGTTCTCGACACCAGAACAAGTCTCATTCGATAATTCCAGGGAACGGACCCAGTAGTCAATGGCAATTGATTCCTGTCAAACATTCTCTGGGGCGAAAAGTTGCCGTGGTAGCTCGGATATCGAAGGCAACGTTCCAAACAATGAGTCGGTCCCGAGAAGAAAAAATCTTCTACGCCCTATGTCTCTGAACCTTAATAGAAGCCAAGAGAAGTAATTGGAGGACCCTTCACTCTTCTTCCTCGTATAAATCTGCTCCGATCTAGTATTTGTATAACGTATTGCCCACAAACCAGTGGACTTCAGACCTGCCCCGATCTCGCACCCTTCTCGTTCGGAAGTTGCACGAGTGCTCTGTGACTCATACCGCACGGTTTATATTTCCGCGACCACCTTAAACTCCTCAGATACCTGTCCAGACACCTGAACAGTGTGAAACATTCGCCATGGGCTCCGTTGCACACTCCACAGCAGAGCTTGATGCCTCTGTGGTCAAGATCACTCGGTCGACAAATCTCCGCCCGGTCCCTGAACCCGGCTCGCCCGAGGAATTGAGCCATTCGTACTGTACGGACCATATGGTCACTGCCCGATGGACCGTGGCCAATGGCTGGGAAACTCCCGAAGTGAAACCATTCGAGAACCTTAGCATCCCTCCCACCGCATCTTGCTTGCACTATGCCACCGAATGTTTTGAGGGTATGAAGGTGTACAGAGGATATGATGGCAAATTGCGTCTGTTCCGACCGGATTGCAACGGAGAGAGACTGCTCATGAGTTCTCAAAGAGCGTCTCTGCCTAGCTTCCGGTATGAAGAGCTGAAGGTTCTCATTGCCAAGTTGCTCCAGATCGATGGACCCCGTATGTGACCTTGATCTTGCTCGTGACAGTTGTTTTCTCGGCTAACCCAATAATTCATAGGCTGGCTTCCCAAGGACCAACCCGGTCGCTTCCTCTATCTTCGCCCTACAATCATCGGCAACGGCCCTCATTTGGGTGTCCAGACTCCCAAGGAGGCCCTCCTTTTCATTATCGCCGTACCATGGCCTGATCCTTCCAAGCTGAAGAAGCCTGAACAAGGCACTAAACCCGGCTTGAAGCTTCTCGCCTCAACCCCCGATACTATCCGTGCCTGGCCAGGTGGTTTCGGCTATGCAAAGCTCGGAGCGAACTACGGTCCCTCGTTGGTTGCGCACGGCAAAGCTCAAGCTCTCGGCTTTGACCAGATTCTCTGGCTATTTGGCGAGGACCGTCAGGTAACTGAGGCGGGTGCTAGCAACTTCTTCATTGTTTGGGACAACAAGGAAACCGGAAAAATTGAGCTTGTCACGGCACCCCTGGAGAACCAGTTGATTCTTCCCGGTATTACTCGCCGTAGTGTCCTTCAGCTGGCACGCTCAGAATTGGCCAAGTCTACCGGTCCCCTTGCTCCGGTAGAGGTTGTCGAGAAGACCTTCACTATTGGTGAAGTCGAACAAGCTTGGAAAGAGGGCCGCATCATCGAAGCTTTCGTCTGCGGTACTGCCGTAAGTTACACCCCGCAAGTAAATTTCAAGTAATGATATGCTAACGATAAGGTAGTTCTTTGTCACCCCAATTAAGCTTATCCGGAACGGCGATATTGATATGGATATGCTGGAGGCTGGGGCAGCCCGGGCCGGATATGCTGCCCAGATTAAATCTTGGCTCGAGGCCATCATGTACGGTAAGGATGGCAAGGAAAATCATGAATGGTCCTACATCATTGAAGGAGAAAGCGAAAAATGAAGGGCAACGGGGAGATTTTCCATTCTTGGAGATGAAAATGAGACGCTTAGGCGGGGTATTGTACATAACACGAGAGACGATGTCACAGGGTCAAGGATCCTCATATATTACATATCATAGATCATAGATGTAATTGAGCGTTTTGTTTAATGTTTTTGGCTTTCCAGTCCGTATCCCCGATTTGCTACGATTACCTAAGAACATGACACCGGGATAAGGTAGTTTATATGTAAGGATTGACACCAACTCTTCATTAGTGCATGTCAATTCATACCAATGTCACTATTCATCCTGCGTCATGTTGCCTTCACCCAGGTCTACCACAACGGGGGCATATTCTCCCTTCTCATCGTCCTCATTGTCGCTCATGTCCATTTCAACTTGCTCCCCATCCTCTAACTGAAGCATGCCTCGCCGTACAAAAGCGCCACGATTGAGCTCCCAATCGTATTCATCTTTCACCCATGTTTCCAGTTTCTTGAAACTATCCTTCACCGGTTGCCCGGCATCCTCAATAACTTGATAGAGCGACGTCCTGAACTTCATCAGCAGCTTTCGTAGAAACTCTCCGCCCTCTTCCCCATCAAGGTCGAAGAACCCTCCTTCGATATCGTCACATCTTTGAAGCTGTAGCAAGAGCAACCGGAGCACGTTACTCATAAACTGCTCTCTCTCATATATGGCTCTTTGACAAGTAAGTATCAAGTTCAGTAATCTCTTCCATTGCTGAAGACATGAGTAATTCATCAACGTTAATACCATCAGGAAAGTAAACTGCAGTTCACCCAGGATCTGCGACTCCCCGAACTGCTCATCGACCTCGTTTGATTCTCGGTCCGTAATGGATATTTGCTGTATGAGATCTCCAAGCGCCCAAGAACGATCCTGGGCAGCCTCAGTCCTCTCACGTCCAACAGCCCCCTCCCTCCAAGTCCTCTTTAGGTTAATCGGTAGGAACGAAAACTCGCTCTCCTGTTCCCCAATGACGCCCGCTAGTTTATCAGAGTCCTGACCCGGTTCAGGAATCCCTGGTATGTTTTCACTATCCCTTTGTGCCGTGCTCGCCGAAGTAACCATCCACCTCGGCCGCCCATCCACATCAATCTCAGGGCTCCCGACAACGCGTCTCAAAAGCGTCGGGGACAACCGGTCCGTGAGACCTTCCCAGTCCCGTCGACCTTCCTTCTCATTCTCGTCGTCCCCAACATCCCGCGATTGAGCCTTTCCTCCAGATGACGTTGGCACACGACTGCGGTAGCGGAATAACCCTCCACTTTGCCAAACAGCCGCTAGATTGGCCTTATGCCGCATTGCTTCCTGTCTATCCGCACCATCGCTAGCAAGTAAGGGTGCCAGGGTTTCGGCCTCCGTATCCCATTTCCAAACAATCACCTCGTTTCCTAGATTTCCGAGCGGGGCCGAAATTAACGCACCCTCATTATTGTGCCCGGCTACGCTGATATCGCCGACGTAAAACCACCCGCCACTCCTCAACGACAGACTTTCTGTCGTTCCTGTGTAGAGAAAGTGCCATCCATCGGGTAGGTCGCGGATGCCGTGGAAATTCGGCGTGGATGTGAAGGTAATGAGGTCTATGCCGACTAGAGTTTTTGGTGGTAGGTGGGGTACGAGAATGGTGGGAGACGGAGTCACGGAAGCCATAGCTTTAGTTGTTGACGAGCGACTGTTTGGGGGATATCAAGGGTGAGCTGGCTAAGTTTGCGATATATAGCTGCTCTAATCTCTGGAGTTGTTAAGTCAAGCACAGCTGTAGGTCCTGCGATGACGGAGCTTGTCGCAAATAGGCTCGTCCTAAGCTGTTTGGTTGGCTCTACTTGGCCTTTCCTAGCACTCAGTAGTTCAACATGCAGCGCACTTGAAAGCAAGCCGGCCAATTAAAACTGGGTAGCAGAGAGGTGTTCGCGCAAATCTCAGCGCGGGGTGGTGGGAAGAGTCTGGCCTGGATCATAGTTAGATAAGCTTCCGATAAATCCTGACCTTATCGAAGTATTTATTTTCTTAGCGTTTCCACTACCATGGGAAATGTCCGAGCTGGCAGTGGGAATTATTTAAGGATATCAATAGTGTCGAAATTACCTCCACCGGCTCTAGAGCGCTCTAAAACATGTGATACACCACTACTAGTTCTCTACGACAGGAATATAAGACAGACGGTTCTAGTTGAGGTATATTGACGAGGTAGCTGCTGTTTCAGAGACTACTTATGCCCAAAACCGAATAGAAACTTTTTGGATATGAAAAAATTGAAGACCAGGCGATAATAGCCGTTCTTCGCGTTTATTCCATCCACATCCGCAGGCAGAGTACTCTGCTGGTAGCCTCCCATCCAGCCAAGCAAAAAGCTTGCCCAATTTGGAGAAGACGTACCCGCACATACCTACAGACGACGACCACGGCGACCACCCTTGCGACGAGTAGAGTCGGAGGGGGTGGGTGTGACGTCCTCAATGCGGCCGATTCTCATGCCAGAACGGGCAAGAGCACGGAGAGCGGACTGAGCACCAGGACCGGGGGTCTTGGTACCGTTACCTATGATGGGGGTTTAGTCCTCCGGCTGGTATTCCTTTTCCGAGATGTGTGAACGCTACTTACCACCGGTAGCACGGATCTTGATGTGGAGAGCGTTGATACCGAGCTCCTTGCAACGGGCAGCAACATCCTGGGCAGCCAACATGGCAGCGTAGGGAGAAGACTCGTCACGGTCAGCCTTGACCTTCATACCACCGGTGACACGGCAGATGGTTTCGCGACCACTGTAATCGATGGGTTAGCCTCGTGTTCCTTTGCCAGCTCGATATTCCATATTCCATCTCCGACATATCAATCTTTATGCGAGGGAAAATCGTATGAAGGAGTCATAGGAAAAGCGATGCGACGAACCTCAGATCGGTAACGTGGACGAAGGTATCGTTGAAGGAGGCGAAGATACGAGCAACGCCGAAAACGAGCTTGCCTGAAAACCCATTCTATTAGTCTTGCGCGCAGAATATGAAATTTCGAATTGCACATACCATCTCCGGCCAGAGGGCCGAGAGTGACGTTTTCCTTAGCGGCAGCGGTCTTCTGCTTGGGGGCCATTGTTGTTGTGCTGGACTGTGGTATGGAATATGGAAAAAGAGAAAGAAGGAAAACTGACCCTTCAGTCGACTTGGATAAGGAAAATGGATGGTGTGTGCCCTACGGTCAAATCGCCGACTCTGATTGGATGGCTGTCAAGTCTCGGCCATGGGCAAGCGAGTCGCAGCCTAAGGCGCTGATTGTTCTCAGCGCTGTATTAGTGGGGCCGTTTCGGTGAACAGTCGGCCCGGCGACGCGGTGGATTTCCGCATAAATTCTCTCCTTTCTGCTGACAACTCTCTTTTCTTTTCTTCACACACACTTCTCTCGTTTCGCAATCAGTGCAACGGCTTGATGAATGGTTGATTGCTCTGGCGTGGTTCGTTGGATGATAATTTGAGTCGACCATTCAGTGTATCTTGCTGTTGCTAGCCAAAGATGGTTTTCACTAAGGAAAATGCCATGATCGGCATTATCGGCATGGGTGACATGGGCAAGATGTATGCCCAGCGTTTGAGCATGGCAGGGTGGAGGTAATATCCCCCAATGTTTTTCGGTCTTTGTCAGTGCCTCCCACTGTGATCTCTCGCTTAATAGGTAAGACAACCTTTCCCTTTTTATCCCAGCAATCTCTGTGTTGCCTATCTTTTGGATGATGACTTGAGTGCATTTGGCTCGAGTATGGTCTGGTGGTTGAGCCGTTACGCCATCCTGGTCTATGGTTTACTGCCGGGCTGTCAATGATGTAAAATCTCAGCTACCTATATCTTTTTTGTCTGATCCTAAATCATCTCAATGGCTGCCTTTCCAAGATTAACCTTACGTATTCATGGGCTAATTTGTTATTGTCACCTAGGCCGTCGCGGTGTATTTGCTCGTATATTCCGATAGACATGTTTTAGATACTAACAAGAATACTCCTTTTGAAGGATAAATGCATGTGACAAGCCCGATAGTTTTGAAAGCCTGAAAACAGAATTTGCTGCTCAAGTACGTCTATTGATCACAGCTCACGCTGTTCCTAGACTCATCGTATATAGAAAGGTGTCACAATCTACCCGAATGGACACCTAGTTTCAAGAATAAGCGACTTCATTATATACAGTGTAGAGGCCGGAATGATTAACAAGGTAGTGGCGGAATATGGCCCATGTATGTCTAGCCAAACTACCGCTGCCATTCATTCCAAGCAGTGTCTGACTCGTTGACGCAGCTACCAAGGTCGGTGCCATTGTCGGTGGCCAAACATCTTGCAAAGCTCCTGAGCTGGCCGCATTTGATGAACATCTCCCTTCGGATGTAGAAATTGTATCCTGCCACTCGCTCCATGGCCCTAAAGTCAACCCGAAAGGTCAACCACTGGTATGACATGCGCATCACCATCGGTTTCGTATATATGATAACATTGGTTCAGGTCTTAATACAGCACCGTGCATCGGACGAGAGTCTTCATTTCGTGGAAAACGTCCTGTCATCCTTCGAATCCAAATTCGTTTACCTGACTGGCGCTATGCACGACCGAATCACCGCAGATACACAAGCTGTGACGCATGCAGCCTTCCTGAGCATGGGAACCGCATGGCGAGCGAATAATCAATTCCCGTGGGAGATATCTCGTTGGGTAGGGGGAATCGAGAACGTAAAGATCAATATCACTTTACGCATCTACTCTAATAAATGGCACGTCTACGCTGGTCTGGCTATCCTTAATCCGAGTGCGAGGGAACAGATACGGCAGTATGCTGAATCGGTGACTGAGCTGTACAAATTGATGATCGAGGGTCGTCGAGAGGAGCTTAAGCGACGTGTCAAGGCTGCAGGCGCAGCCGTCTTCAGAGCCGGCACCGAGGGACAGGATCTGTTGCTGAAGGACGAAGTTCTTGACCGTTTCTCGCTCTCGAACGGACCTCGTGAGGAGACCACCCCCAACAGTCATCTTAGTTTGCTCGCAATTGTTGATTGCTGGTCAAAGCTCGGAATTGTTCCTTACGACCATATGATCTGTTCTACACCTGTGAGCACCACTTTATATTTGTTTACAGTATGCATTGATCATTGGCTCACTGCTACGTTACACCTATAGCTCTTTCGTCTTTGGTTGGGAGTTACGGAGTACCTTTTCCGCAACCCAGATCTACTTGATGCGGCATTGGATACTGCTATTGACGACAAGATGTTCCGTTCTGACGATTTAGAATTTACATTTGCGGCTCGGGTAAGTAGTGTTTATTTGGGTTTCCCGAGGGGCACTTTTCAGAACGCATTATCATGTATCTTGGAGTTCCATGTTCAAAGTACTGACATTATCTGCAGGCATGGTCAGACTGTGTTTCATTTGGCGATTTTGAGTCCTACCGCGATCGATTTGAGCGGATTCAGGGATACTTTGCTCCCCGTTTCCCTGATGCCGTCAAGCTGGGCAATGAAATGATGAAGACAATCCTCGAGAAGACGACAAGCAACTAAGCTTTCCAGGAAGGAAGGAGGCCAACGGTACCTGGGTATGTCACATATGAAGCCGAGGACGGTCAAGAAGCAAGCGAGAGTTATCATGAGAGTAACCCGGATTAAGGCTCTCTATAGAGTCTGAGAGAACATAATCTCAGGCATATCACTCATCATATCACCGGATTTGATCGAGATGTGGCAGTCAGTAGTAATACTAGAGTATGCTACATGTAAATAATACCGTGAAGGTTCCGTCGTGGCTAATGATCTACAGGAGGTCGTAACAATAATGACAGTCTCTACATTAGAAGATCCTTGATAAAGCAGCATAAGTCTGAGCATAAGGAATTGCATTTGGAATTATACTAATAACTAGCCTCAATACATGGACATTTTTTGAGATCGAAATCCACCTCAGTAGCTTTCCCGCCGGTGTAAGATAAAAAGTAATATGCTATTCATACAGCGTTGAAGTGCAGTATGAGCCCGTTCTTAATCATGCCCTCGCACCCTGTCACCCTGCCTTGTCCCTGATCTGCACTGCCTCCACCAGTAAGGGTGACGAGTCCGGAGTTCGAGAAGACATAATTACTAAATCTTGCCCCTGGACACATCGCGATCTTGGCAACGTTGGAAATGGGTCTATGGAAACGGAAAATACGTAGGCTAGCATAATAGGTAGAAGGGTTTCGTGAAGTGACAACGCATGAGGCTACATCATAGATTCAATGTCAACACATCCGCCGCTCGACCAGAACCACGAATTGGCGGTTAGTCTAGCTTTGAATTAGGATATTTCCACCAGGGGACAGCCTTCTGGGTTTGTAGATACACCACTGTGATTGTCGATAATCTTTTCTAGGGCAAAGAAGGCTCGGAGCCCTAGCCCAGGATCAAAAAAGAATCAAAAAATAAAGTGACCAATGCAGGCAAATGATGCGAACAAATCTAGGGAAAAGCGGGATTATCAGGTAGTACTGAATCTTAATTATGGGTCAAATTGACAATATACTTACGTATGTCTTTTGGAACACTACGTAGCCATTTATTCCAGGTCTGGCTCAAGGAATGCGCATTCAATATGTTGTGGTACATCAGGTTACGAAGATAATCGAAAGCCACCCAGTAGCCTCCAATGCTGAAACTGAGGTGATCTATACCAATATTACAACTGTTCCTTAAACAATTACTCGATCTCGACCAGTACTTTAGTAATCATGATTGTGGTGTTATTCAGAAACATAGTGGCTTCGGATCTGTCATCATACGAACCAGCGAGCTATCAGAGTTCCTAGTAATGTATATAAATCGATAGGGCCCCACGGCCTGGGGGTAACATTGTGAGTGGCATCTCACTCATGTATGTTATATGAACTCGTTTGCATGCGTGGTGGAATACGAATTAATTATACGTATCAGAATACCTATGATATCCAATCTATTGCACCGATGATATACGGTGAACTTTGCGGGGGATTGGGCATGTTCTACATCTTTGTGATCATATGGAGTAGGGGAGAGTGATGTCACAAACTACCAGCACTGGATCCCAGACTGAGCTCTTCCAAAGCAAAAGCTGGTTGTATCAGAGTAAGGAAAAGCTTAGCTGTGCGCTTTCCAGTTCTGGTGAAACAAACGATATCTCTGATGAGATATTGCAGTTTCCATGAGGTTACGCAAGGGCCCTTGTTTGTGGGATAATTCGATAGTACAACAAAACATCCCTGTATTTCTGTAACATCTGAGAGTTGTCTTATATTTCTCTGTCAGGCTTTCAACTGTCTGGGTTTTTGAGGGTGTAATGGATAAGCTTGATTTGATTCATGCACAAAGGCGTGGAACATATAGCCTTGCTTGCTTTCTGTGTGTTTCTGGAGAGATGGCACGACTCCACTGGTAACCGGGATATCCTGGGATTCAATTTCTCTTTGAATCATATATGTTTGACTGCCGTGTTACTAAAATGCTGATCAAGATGTGATTTATATAGTGGAAGTTGCAGCGTTGATAGAATTAGCAGCCTGAGGCCATTTATAGGACCTGGTTAGTCAGCGGACAACGATCACCTGAAACCACCGGTAGGATGGGGCTCAGATCTCCCATCGAGCAACTCGTGGACTTGCTTCTTGATTTAAAACCGTCATCTGCTGTTCCGTGGTACATGTGAATTCCTGATCACACTCCTATACGTTCCCGATTACCCCCTCCTCTGGCCTCCAACTGAACAGCTCTTCGCGACTGCGGCCTCTTCCCCCTCCCTTCCATACCGGACCCGCTCTCTAGCCCAACCGATTCAAGCGCGCTCGATCTATATTCACGAAGATAGCTTTCGTCATCGCGGTGCTGGTCGAACTTCCCTCGGTGAACTCAATGCGGCCCTCCATCCTTCATCTCATTCGTGACAGGTGATAGGCATTCATTACGGCTAGATGGAGATCTATGGCGTCCGGATATAACTCAGCGTTCTCGGCGACTTCGACCCAGCACCGCGCTGTGGGAGATGGGCGGTCATATTCTAGCCTGGATGATGGCTCGGTGGACGGCAGTTGGCCGGGGGCGGCTTCGCGGTCAGGGAGGAATACTCGCTCGGAGTCTGGAGGCAGTGCGACTATCGGGTTTCGGGCAGCGCCGTCGCTGGCCCCCTCTTCTGGGTCTGGGGGGCCAGGGAGCTTCAGCTCTGAGCTCCGGAGCATGAAAACATCACGGAGTACAACGCCACGTCCCGATACTACGACGTTTAGGCGAAGAGGAAGCAGTAACGTCGAGCCTGATGACCTGTCCAGTACCGAGGAGCGCCAGGCTGCGATCCGAAATAAGATTGCGAAGGAGATGAAAATCAAAACAGGGACGGAGAATATGCTCGAGGCATTGCTGGCCAAAAATCCGAAACACACAAAGGATCAGAGGTTAAAAGTAGAATCAGAGTTGAGCTCGTCGAATCGAAAGCTCGCGGAGTTGCACCATGAGCTGGAGGAGGAATTGTTACGTGCGCAGGCGCCGTCCACCCCTCCTCGGAGTCGTTTGTCGTCTTTGTTTCAGGGCAGCTCCATGCGATCGCCCTCTCGGAGCAATGTCAATGTAGAGTTGGACGATGGCCAGCCGGAGGACGGAGAGGCGGAAATGGAATCGCCGACATATGTACTTGCGGAAACATTGCAGGCTTTGGAGATCGAAGGCATGTCGCCGGATTACTATGTCGAGCGCGCAAATAGCCTGGTCGAACTCTTCAAACGACATCCCACCTTAAAGTACGACCTAGCTTGGTCTGTTTTCGGGTTGCGTGTCCAGGTCATGCTCTTGAGTGACAATAAGGAAGTTGTAGCAGCTGGGTACAGGTTGACCCGCTATGCTATCGCAGATCGGAAATCGCTCCAGATCATCCGCTCATTACACACGGACGAGCTAGTAATCTTGTCGCTTGTCAAGGAGAGCAAAGCGAGCATCGAGCGCGAGCAAGCCCTGAAATTCGTCAGGGCTTTTCTAGACGTCAAGGATGGTGTGCGTGAAATCTCACGCTCTGTGGTGCGGACTATTGTCTCTGTTGCTGAGCATTACGAAGATCGCCTCCGAAATATTTCAATTATGACTCTCGCCGAAATCTTAGTCAAAGACCCGGAGCTTATCGCATATGCTGGCGGCTTTGCAATACTACATGACGCTCTAGCAGAAGGGACATTTGGGGCTTCTGAATCTCTGATAGGGAGCTTTCTACATGTTCTTGACACACCACAAAGCAGGAAACACCTGCAAGGAGGGTGTGAGCTTGAAGCTGTTCTTGCACCCTTCACTGATTCATTAGCCGACAGCATTCGCAACGGTCGTTTAAAATCATCAGCTAAAGCTATATCGGCAATGCTCAAGAGCTGGCCCGGCATATTGGTTCTCGCAAGGAATGGGGGGAAGCCCTTACAGTCGCTCTTGGAGTCCTTGCACTACCCAGATTCGCAGGCTAGAGATCTGATCATGGAGCTCCTGTTCGATGCTTTACGGATTAAACCACCGTCATGGTCTTCATCTTTCCTTGCAGGTCGGCGACTCACAACTTATGGCAGAGTCTCAAATCTTCGGTCAGAGACTGACGCGAAACAATATCGCGGATACTACGACGACAACGAGAGTAAATTTGACTTGACAGCACATTTTTCTACCCTCATCCTTGCAACATTAGTGGATGCAGGATTGTCAAAGGTATATTTTCTGTTTCACTTTGTTTAATATGAACTCGTGTGGCTGCCGATCATGCTAACAGGCACAGGCTCTCTCTGAGCTCATCGAGGATGAAGAAGATCTGTCTCTTAGACGGAAAGCAACATTACTCTTGACAGAAGTCCTGAAGTTAGCCCAGCACTCTTTACCACAGGAGATAAGCTCCAAGCTTCAGGTCCTCCCGCACTTATTGCCCGCCGCTATCCAGTTCGATGTTGAGAATCATGATGTTTCTACGGCTACAATTTATCAAATTGAAAGCATAAACAGAACGTTGGCACGCTCTGTTGGTTTCTCGAATGGACCTGGGCGATATAGTGTGGATGTTGATATTTCAGCCTCTCTTCTGTCTAGTGACCAAAGCAAAGACAAGATGAGCCCTACAATGGATGAAACCCAATTCCGCAATGCGATTCTAGAAACGCATGTCTTGAATACAGTGAATTACCTAAAGTGGAAATGGGATCTCATCCACCGCATTGTTGAGGGACCCCTGACAAACCCCAAGAGGCTAGACGAGGCGATCAAGGGATCAAAATTCATGAAGCGACTCATGGGGTTCTACCGGCCTTTTAAGTATAGGTTCTCCATGCTCCCGAATACGAAGCCCAACCAACGCTACGTTCGAACAGGTTGCGCATTGATGCGCACCCTAGTCTCAATCCCTGAGGGAATTAAGTACTTAGCCGAGAATAAATTTCTTAGACAGGTTGCGGAATGCCTTGCTCAGGTTGATCGTATGAGCGGGCTAACGTCATCTTCACCATTGTTCTCCCGAGAGCAAATGGCCAGCACATTGAGCGGAGGGTACTTCGCCCTTCTAGGGACATTGACCGGCGACACCAATGGGCTTTCTATGATGGAACGGTGGCACATGCTCAACATGTTTTATCATATCATTGAGCTTCGGGATCGAGACGACCTCATACAGACCCTCTTGGGCAACATGGACTACACAAAGGACAGTCACTTGAGAGTGATGCTATCCAAGGCTCTCACAACGGGCTCCAAGGATACTCGTATCTTCGCCACAAAATTGCTCCGAAAGTACGCGGTAGGGAATGTTCCACTTTCTCCACAGATGGCTATAGGCAATGCAGACTGGGTTGTTAAATTTCTTGTCACACAACTGTATGATCCTGACGTGTCCGTATGCCAAATAGCTGTGAAGATCCTCGAAGAGGCATGCAATCATCGAGACTATCTCGAGTTTGTGGTCAAATGCAGGCCGTCCCTTGACCACCTGGGTGAAATCGGCGCGCCTTTGCTCTTACGGTTTCTATCAACCTCAGTCGGCTATCATTATTTAGATGGACTCGATTACATCACGCAAGAAATGGACGATTGGTTCTTGGGCCGCAACGATGCATATGTGGGTCTAGTGGAAGCCGCTTTATCGCGGGCCTACGTCGATCAACCGCGAAGGGGCAGTTTCGTTCCTGAAGATCTCGTGGATCTGCAAGACATCGGGCTGGTCCCACCACATTTCTACCGCGAGCTGGCCCGTACCGCAGAAGGCTGCAAGCTTCTTGAGCAATCGGGCCATTTCAGCGAATTCGCTTGGACCATCCGCGATTTCCGACTGGACGATGAAGACACTGAGATTTTACTCAAAGTTAAGGGCTGCCTCTGGGCCGTTGGCAACGTTGGCTCCATGGAGTTGGGCGCTCCGTTCCTCGAGCCTGATATTGTTGAGCGTATAGTTAAAATCGCCGAAAGTGCTGAAGTCCTGACGATGAGGGGAACCGCATTCTTCGTATTGGGGTTGATCTCCCGCAGTCGACATGGTCTCAAGGTACTGAGAGATTTCGGATGGGACTCTGCTATCGATCAGAAAGGAAATTCCCTAGGACTGTGCCTTCCCACCGATTTCAATAAATTGTTCCTGGTATGTACTCAACTATGACATCTAAAAGGAAATTGTGGCCTGTGACTGATTGATCTTTCTTTCTGCAGGTGGAATTCCCTTCACATTCAAGAAATCAAGAATCCAAACGCTTGTCTCATGACAAATTCAAGGAAGCCACCACCGATGCAGATGCCACCAACCAAAAGATCCTAAAGCTCATCGTCGATATGGGAAACACTGTCTTGTCCAAACGAGCGGCGGCGGATCTTCATAGGTATAGCCCCCCTCTTCCCCGAACCATACCGTCTTGAACAGAACAGTCCCTCTAACCTTACCCGTCAACCTACAGCATGAAATCAAAGCAACCCGAACGATTCCACCAACCACACTTATTCCGCAAAACCCTCAGTATCCTCGAAAGCCATCACTTCCGTCTTCCAGCGCGACGCTTTGCCCTTGACCTATTCGATAAAAGTGTCATGCGACGAATCGTAATGGAAGACGAGTCCGACACCGACTCAGAAGCAACCTCCTCCCAGGAATCAACCTAAGCTAGCGACATCAGCTTCTTTGATCTCGCGCCTTCAATCACAGTATAAAATCCACTGTAACTCGGATGACTCTATTCCGCAAAGCCGTAGAAAGCCATAAATGAATGGCGGTACTACTATGGGCAAACTGGGGACAAGGTGGCCACACTGTTAAACCCGCAGACGCTCATAAACCAGCTTGAGGTCGAGGTCAAGGATACCAGGCCAGTTACTCCAGTCCACGCACTTCTGCGCGCCATCGTCCCGCCATCGTCCCGCCCTTGACAAAGTGACGAACAGTACCGGGAGAACGAGCCCAAGACCAAAAAGCCAATGGAAGCCACACCCGCCCAGGCCATGGAATTGCAGCAAGCCAGAACACGGAGCCTATTAACTTTCGATTCTCCACCACTCTTTCACTCTGTCTCCGCCTCTCCCTTTTCTCTTTTCCCTTGGAACTGTGTTATACCCAACAGTATCATAGAGTCAACTATCCATATGCATACATACATACATACACCCCTAAGTTCACCGGATCTGGAACAGATTCTTACAGCTATCTTTTTGGTGCTACGTTTTCTTCATTCTGGTTTGGTACGACGTTGGATGGCTTTTGTCACGAGCAATGAAAGGATGCCAGCATGTGAGATGTTTTATTGTGTGTTTTGTTATTGTTTTGCTCGCTTCTTACTTGCCTTACTTCTGGTAGCCTGTCTGGATAGGTGATCTATATCTGTAAGGAGAACTACGAATGCAGAACAGTCAGGGGACGACTTTCAGGAAGAGGACTTGTGGGTGTGCCCCTTTCTGCTAGGTCGAATCGAGGGGTCTATAGGTGGTAAGAGTTACGTCGGTATACAATAGGGAAATCTATATTGTGTTTAGGTATGCACATATACTAACGAAATTCAGGTTAATTTTATTGACTGAATACTAAACTCCTTAGCATCACACATTTGTATTGAAAATTAGTCCTCATAGACCGCTAAAAGTTTCCCACTTGTAAGATCTAGAAATTCACTTTCTTCCACTATGACTTGTCTCTACTAGCGCGGCTTAAGTGGACATTTTCAAATAGTAGGGTCTCGTCTAATAGTAGCGGTCTTTCTACAGTTCTCTATAGCCGAGGACCGTATAGACCAGAGTGAGCCATTAATTTCTCTTCGTATTACTTCTATTACTTACATATGGTGTAGCTGTTGTGAAAAATAGAAAAGGACTACTAGGTCCTGTGAACTATAGGTTTAATGGATTAGTTCAGCACGCATTTTTCGTGCGTTATATCCAGTCGTATTTTGGTTTGAGTGGAACCGTAATGTCAATTTGAAAATCGCTCATATCGATGGATTCACTTCCTCATCGTCACCTACACCGGTGTCTACGTCTCGGGACTCGATATAGCCTGAAGATCGTATGCATTTAGCTATTTGTAAGGGGCTTCCGCCACGGTATTGTGGATGAGCCGATTGTCCTGTAGGACCTACGCCTGCATCCAGTAATAATTTGACGATATTCGACTTGGTATAGTGGATAGCACGGTGTAAAGGATTGCCCCATTTGACAGAGGTTGCGTTAGGATCGAGACCCTTGTCCAGAAGAAACCTAGTCATGAACTCTACTTAGACCACACGCGGAGCCACGACGTCAAAGAGGAGATATTATTCCAGCTTGGCCCCGTATGCGAGAAGCAGTTCAATCAGAGAGGTAACTTCTTCACCGGTGTGGGTAATGGCTTAGGCGAGGGGGGCCACCCTAGGGCCAGAACCGTTAGGGTCAGCGCCTCGCGAGATTAATTCGCGAGCACAGGCAGAATTACTCATTCGGCTGTTTATCAAGAGTCAGTTCGCGGCCACGAATATTTGGCTGAACAGGACTGACATGTACACTAGGATAGGATCGCCGTTGCGGTAGCTTCTGTTGGGATCAAGACCATGGTCGAGGTCCTCGGCGTTGAGTCACCCGATGGCGAGGGCTTCTTGGGTTTTTGGCAGGTCAACGGCTTCGCACGCATCGTGAAAGGCCTCGACAAAAGAATCATAGCCGGGTGCCATGGTGCAGGCGAGACGGAGATTCGTGTGGTATGTAGATAGGTTGACCTTCGAATACGAAATGGCGTGAAGTGGACAGGAGAGTAGTTACCACTCCGTACAAGTAGTGATTTATATGGTCCTTACTAGAGCTCGCAATAACCCGCCCAAGACCCAACAAACAGCAGCTTTGCGGCCTCCGCGTACAGAACCACATCAGATAAATCGCCCCCAATCTGCGATGCGCCTCGTCTATTTCCCGTAGTAGCTTCAGTAGGTACCGGGGATGGCGAATCAGATAATAGAAGAATGCCTGCAGAGTCGCACTGGCTGCGTCGGCGCCAGCACCGATAGTTGCCACTGCAGCCCTAGAAGACCTCTGACCTCGCTCATGCGATCGGGGTACTGACGACGGACACGTAGCCAGCGTTCCATCATATCGAGTCTTACAGCAGTAGAATTGCATTTTCTTTACTCAATAGCAGCGAGACATGTACCAAAAATGCGGGAGCAAGGTTGCAAGCCGATCCGACTCTGGAACGCGGATGGCTGTCTTGGTCTTTAACGTATTGTACATACAGCATGAATATCTATCCATCTATAGATCTGGGAATCTACTTCTCTTTTCCCTTTTTTTATCTTCTTGTTGTTCTCTTCTTTAGTAAGAAAAATTGTATAGCGCCGGAAGTATACCATATACTTTGACTGCCTAGCTGACCACAAAACATTTCGTAAACCGCAGCCAACGGACACTCCCTGAACGACTTGTATCTCGCCTAGGTACGGTGGTAATGGCATATAGGTTGCAGAGACTTTGGAACCGCAAGGAAAAGCTGATTTTCTCGTACCTAGCTACTACTCTCTGACTCCCAACTGTTTCGTTATGTTTTCAAATGTGTTTAACTGACATGATTGCATTTACATCAAGTACCATTCACCTTCGAGATTCCTTTACTGCTGCACTTTCAGCGCGGTGTTGTGTCGGTAACTGTCCAGCCCGGCTTGCTCGTGTTCGCGTTCACTTTCATCTTCCTCGGCTCCATCGAGAGAAAGAAGTTGAAACCGATTTAGTACTGAAACAGATTTCTTAGAAGGGGCCTGCAGCTCCTTTTTTGGACCCGTGGGAGCCTTGGTCGGAGGTTCGCTGCACTCATCCGGATAGAATCCGATTCTCATCCCCTTATACGTGAGGCGAGACATCATGCAGGAACGTGCAAACAATGCATTATGGACAGAATTCGTGGATATGTAGGCATTGCCCTGTTTAAATATGACCGAGATAACGATCAGGTTATGGATGTGGTCGAGGTCCTTCCGAACAAGCCATTCCGTGATGTTGGGCTGCACGTTGTATATGACCAGATTGCGCGAAGCTCCGTTATTGATCTTGGTTCTGACAAATGGGGGAAGGTAGAACTGGCGGTCATTCCACGATGCCTCAACCTGTCATTAACATTAACATGTGAGAAGACATGTAATTACCTTGGGATTGGCAACCTACACGTCTCCCAGCCACATAGACTCCGTGGTGCTTTGCATGCTGCATGAAATCCTGGGCGTTTGTTTCTTCAACAAACGAAATGCTGGCCATACGTTCCCGAGCTCGAAGGTAAATATGAAGAAGAGCGCCTCCCTTTACAGCGCCAACAAGATCTTTATGGGTGACTCGTTCAGGCAGGCCCCGGAGCAGGACGGTGCGTTGCAAAGTCGAAGCTACCGACGACCCTGAACTTCTGGAGGAAATTTCATAATCATCCCTGTCACTATCTTGAGAGGCTAGGAGGACACCCTCTTCATCATCCTCATCGTAGGTTCCCCAGTGCTTGTGGCTGTGGGTTGGGTTTGTTTTGCTATCTGGCAAATTCTCTTTGCATTCCGGGAAGTCACCAGAACACGCTTTTCCGTCATTCTGGAGATCAGACGGAGGTGGTGAGCCATAGATCAGTATCTAGATAACCGGGTCAGCCAACCATGACGGCGTTGAAGATAAGTATATTCTGACATCGAGGGTCTCTTGGGACAGCCCGCCATTCAAAAGCGATTCCTTTAGCTTAGCTGCCGTCAATCGGTTAAAACCGGGTGTAATGCGGAATAGGAATAATGTTACAGACAAAGGTAGGTGGCATACTGAACTGGGTTGATATTGCAAGCTGAGCCAATATCAGCATGCCAAACTCCACGAACAAGGAATACAGTAAGTAGCCTTCCCAGATATGCTCACCAGATTTTGATACTCTAAGTTTGAAATAGTCACTGAATTTGAGCTCGTAGAATTACTGTTTTCCAGGGACAATTGCTAATTGATTAAGTGATCGCTGGAATTAGTGAATGTTTACTTCGCAGTATAGCCGATCAAGACTCACAGCTTCCGCTCTATTATAAATATTAGCGATGGTACGCGATAACCTTAACAGGAGTAGTAGCTGAAACCAAATTTCAACCGCAATGATAGTGAAAAAGAAAAACAGAGCAAGAAAGGCAATGTGGACTGTTCAAGAATGCATGGACGAAAGCATAAACAAAGCCCCAAACGGCGCTCACCTCTGTAGTAGAGATTCAAAGTGACGCTTTTCAACAGTGATAAATGAAGAAGGCATGGTAACTGATTCTCTGTTTTAAGATCTGATGATGTTCTTGGTACAAGATCCAGGAGAGAAGGGTAGGGAGAAAGCTTACCAGAGAGAATTTCGAATAACATGGACTGATTAGAACACTAAACCAGGGAAAGGGGACGAGTAATAAAGTAGAAGAGGGAAGGTAAGAGGGAGGGCAAGGGAGAGAGAGTGAGAGAAGAAGAACACACAAAGGGAAGGTCTCGTGCTTTCCCTCAGGGATATATCACAACGTCACCCCACGTTAAATGCTGCAGGTGCGATCATCAACTTACCAACTAACTAGCTCAATTTCTTTAACCCCCTCCTCCTGACAATAGTACCTGATACTAACTATCAGAGACCGTTACTGTAGTCTCCACTCGGGAGCTGAGCTCAATTTCCACCCTACGAGCAACCAACCCACAAGGATGGATACAGATGATATGCAAGACGGCCAGAAGGCAACGTGCATATCCCCTCCTACTCCATGTTAGTCATGGGCACACTCATGTTGGCCCAACAAGAGGAAACTCAAAAGAAGACGAAAAGAGAGAGTCACGGCGAGCCAGTGGGACACAACAATCACGGATGGGGGACATGCTCTGCCCTCTCAACAACCCCGGGCACTGGAGTGCCCTGTGACAGACACATAGCCGCCTGGGTGGCGTTGGACAAGTCAGAATTTCAAGCCCAATGTCTCTAAACCCAATGCGCGCCGGACTGGGATCCGAATTTTGTTTCGTGGGCGATACGCTCCATCGAAGCAAGGCGCTCTTTCTCTTTTCTTCGTCTTTCTTTTCCCCTACATGAAACGCGATAATATCCTTGGATGAGAATGAGTCTGCCCACCGCTCCTCTGAATTACCTATCTAGATTGCTAACTTGTATCGTGGTGTTCTCTTTTTCCTTTTTTTCTTTCTTCTTTTCTTTTGTTCTTTCCAATCCTCTCAATTTGTGTCTCGGGTCTCGATTTCTTTCCCATTTTAGCTTTACAGAGTACATCAAAATTGTACCTTATACTGATCACCAGCGCATACTGCAGCCAACGTTTAGGATACATGAACAGGTGTTCAAAACCTCCAGTCAGTCAATATATCCGGTTGTACATGAGCCCATTTAGATACGGTCCGGCTGTCTTCCTGTGAATGATGACTCTGCATGCATTCATGGCTGCGGGTTCCACATAATCCTGTTTGATGTATTGTACGAGACAGGCTCGGCTTGGGGTGCGGATATATGATTTGTCCAAACAATTCGACCGGACATCCTTCGGTCTGTGGGGGGTATTAAGATACAATATTTGGAGAGGACACATTTGTTGGAGCCAGCTTTGATGCACTTACAATCTCTCTACGCAACCTCTCCTGGTAGGGGGTTGGAGTGCGTCCCCGACCAGTAAGGAAGTAGACCAGGCAGCATTCATCTCAGTACAGCACACCGAGTGTGCCAAGCTACGTTGTACCGATTCTGATTGGCGACAAACGGATGTCGCCTGCCCAAGGTGGTGGGTAGAGCCACCGTCTTTGCATACACGTTTCGGGAAATGCTCTTTGGTTTCAACCAGGTTCTGGAGTTCGTTCCTCACCCTCGCGCTGCAGGCCCACTGGCGTTCTTGGAGCCTCTTGCTCAAGGTGAACGTTCCGTTGCGCTTCTATTCTCCCTCGTCGCCTCAACCGCAATATTTGGACGCCATTGGCAGCCACCTGTACTACGAAGATAGCAAGGAAAATGCCTATAACAAGTGTTTGCGGAATGTGTGTTACCGTATCCTGATTTTCCACTGGCTGCCGCCGATTATCAATCGGTAAGCCAGCGGAACCGAAAGTTACCGAGAATGACATGGAAAACGGCGGGAAATAGGTTAAGACCCTGGGAGACGAAAACGGTATGAACGATGCAACCGGGCCCATTACCACCGGGACCAGAGCAAAGACGAGGAGAGGAACGGCTAGTCATAAGGCAGAAGTAAGCGATGGCCGAGATCGAGCCATCCTAGTCAAAGAATGCATAGTGAGTAACACAAGATTATTGAGGGTTCCCGAGCTTGGAAGAGGTGGCGGTACATACCATTCCCGAGATTCCAGCTTTCGCACCCAACGTGAAGTGATCTTCAACCTTTCCCTGACACTAGTGGTTGATAAAAGAGCATATTTTTCCTGTTCCAATATTGGCAAGACACTGGCAAACCACCAGGGAAATTGTGTAGGTTCCGTTGGAATGTCACCATATGCCAAGAGTACGCGAGGATGGAGCCATGCTGCTCCTTGGCTGTGCTGCTTCCTTACAAAATCCAGTCCCACCTGGAACAGCTGCTGCGTGGACATAGATTCTAGGCATTGTTCGCCGGAAGAGTTCGCAGCCAAAAAGGAAGAGCTGCCTGCCCCTGATGTCTCCATGGCCTCCTGGTTTTCCTCTTCCATTACCGACACATCATCCACGCGCTGTATTCTACCGACATAGTACATATCCACCACATACGAACTGAGCACCTTAAAGCGGTACAACCCGGTAGCGACAATTAGACTTCTTCCGTCAGGCAGAAGCTCATAGCGATCAACGGTCAGAACGGTGCCGTACTGCATAAATTGAGACCTTCCAAGGCCCTGCTGGGGTCGACTGGCACGGTTATACATGACCATGCCGAATCTGCGCTCCCTACTTTGCATGACTCTTTGCATCATGAGCCGATAACGTGCCTCAAAGACATGCAAGAAAGTCGGCATTGTTGGGAGGGAAAGCGAGCTCACGAACAAAGGAATTATTGTTTCGTCATCTTGCTCAGTTGCTTCCTGGAAGCTTGCGTCTCTTCGTGAAGCGACTTGTTCGGGGAACAAAGTCCCCATGATGTCAGAAACTCTTCTATTGATCGGCTCAGACTTCACCGTTGAATCCATGTTTAACTTGCGGCGGCAGGCAGGACAAAGATCCGAGTTATGCAGTACCATTACAACACACCCGCGACAGAAGGTATGGCCACAAGACGTTGTCAAAGGATCCAGTATAAGCGAGTAACAGACCTGGCAGTCTAGCTCATTTCGAACAGTCTCCTTGAGTCTTTCCAAAAGCTGGATTTCCAGGTCTATAGGCCCGTAGACTTCAAATTTAACATCCGACGCATCGTAATCGAAATGACCACGCTTGACTAGGCCGTACAAACCCTGTAGTAGTCCTCCCGCAACGCCTGCGCTTTTCACTACTTTCTCGGGCTGGTCGTCTCTCAACCCTGTCCATGTCACCCTAAAGCCACGCTTCTCCCCAGAGGGCGCTTCTAAGCAGGGACTGGAATTGCAGAGTGCCTCATCAAACACATCCACCAGTCTACCCAACAACACGTCAGCGCCGCAATCCCCAAGACAGTGTTTCCCGGCACAACCATCCTCTTGGCCCCAATAACATGCGAATCCCTTTTTTCGATCCTCACTTGCGGGATATGTAATCCCCGTCCGCTCATGTATTGGCGGCAAACAAGACCGACATAACGTGTTCCCACACGGAAGCCGCAGCGGCGCGCGTAGGGGCCGGGAACAACAAGAGCATTGAATCAGGCGGATAACAGCATGCGCTGTGGATGCAATCTGCTCGTTCGTACGGTCTGAGACTGGGGAAGCTGATGACGGCGCGATCGCGGCATTAAACATTGCGTGGTGGGTGTCATTCTGTGGGGTGTGCGGAGATGTCGCATTCGCGGGGCATGCTGTGTCGTCTTCCATTTAGATTGAAAGCTTCCTGTTGTATCTCAACGGAGTAGGTGTGAGGTTAATCTGTTATTATTATTATTCTCGCGTTAATGAGGGTAGTGAACCACGTTATTTGTTGTTGTTTATTTTAAAGGGAAGGATGTGGATGTGGATGTGGAGGCAGTCTATTTATTCTCAAAGTGCCAGGTCGAACTACTACTGGTTATGGTCTTCCGACGTCCCGAGGTTTATACACATCTGGTAGGTCTTGTTTCATAGGGGGGATTCACTCTACACCGGTCTACCCAGTGCGTTAATAGTGGTCCCATTCGAGGACACCACTACTAATCAAACCAGACTGTATCAGCTCATCACACAGTGGGAGTCGTAATCTTGCATTTCCTGCAGAATGTCCTGGTCACGTGACATTAAAATGTATTCCAGCTGTCCAGAAACCGTTTAAACAACCACAAAAAACAAAACCCAATAAGACATAACGTAGGATAACATCCGGAATGGCTCTTCTCTCTGAACAGGATGAAAAAAAATTGGGTGATATTTGAGATACCTGGCCTATACTAAATCCAGCATCGACAGAGCCAGTAGTATCGCACCATGAAAATTCTACCCCAGCGACAACCAGATCCGAACCATACCCGATTGCCCTGGAAGCACGCTCCAAATCTCCTCCCCAGTGCACCTGATAGATACCATTCCGCGTCCTTTTTGTGTAAAAATTTCCTTCGGTTGTCCGTAGGATGGGTCTTTTTTTTGATTTGAAGGCCGTTTAACGGTAGGACTTCTGGTACCTGGCGCGGGCACCGCGACCACCGAACTTCTTGGGCTCCGTGCGACGGTTGTCGGCAACGAGAAGTGTGCGGTCGTACTGGACAAGAGCCTGCTTCAGCTGGTTCTTGGAGTGCTCATCGACATACTTCTGGTAGTAGGCGACGAGGGACTTGGCGATAGCCTGGCGGATGGCGTAGACCTGGGAAGTGTGACCACCACCGGAGACGCGGACACGGATGTCAACACCGGCGAACTTATCGGCACCGACGATAAGAACAGGCTCGTAGACCTAGGTTTTCCTTGTATCAGGTGACTTGTTCGAGTTTTGAAGAATGCATCTTGTTTCTTTCTGGGTCGGGCGTACCTTGAAGCGGAGGATCTCAGGCTGGACCAGAGAGAGAGGCTGGCCGTTGACCTTGATGAGACCCTTGCCTTGCTGTAATAATTCTCAGCATTTGTTTCTTCTTCCATGTTCCGTATTGCAAAATATCGAGTAGCAAAATGTATAATGTCGCGGGTTTCAACATCAATCAAGCAAGCACCACTTCGTTCCGACATGTTTTCCCATCCTTTCGTCGTGTTTCTTCATTTCTTCCAATTCCTCTCAAGCGATATCTTTTCCCCGAGCGACCATACACAGTGCGACAGGATAAACAAACAGACACAATAAAGAATGATTGCATACCTTGCAGTGGGCGACAGCGGTAGCTATAAAAAAAATCACCAAGTCAGCATTTTACTTCCACTCCCCATTTCAATATCCCCAAAAATATTCTTACCCGTCTTTTTCTTGCCGAAGCATTGCACACTCGGGACGGAAGCCATGGTGATCGAATGGCCCTTATCGGTGTCGGGAAGGGGAGTGTGGTGAAGTTGTCGTCGTCTTCCTGATATTCGAATCTGCGGTGATGGGGTTCAGAATCCGTGCGGGTGACTTCGCTTAGTGCGACTCCGCTAGGGCTTGCCGCTGGTCACGTGTCACGTGATGTTCCGCCGGGGCGGCTGAAGTTTGGGTCTCCATAGGAGGTCGGGAATGGGAATAGAGACTTGTGCTTTTGCGCGTTGGGTTCTTGTTCTCTGCGGGGACGTTATTACTTTCTTTTATTTTTAGCCAATTCCCATTACTAGAGGACCGAACATCATGTCGCAGACGGTTGGAAAGGTAAATGCTCAGTCAATGACCCTTGGCCGTTTCGTTCCATTATCAATATCAGTTTCTTTCATATCTGCGATGACATATGCTCAAATGACTGAACACTCCACCGGGTCGGACCAACATCCCAATGCTAATCTCTTCCATTGAACACTGTATAGACCCGTCTCGCCTACTCTCGAGCTTGGCACCATGTCGACGTCGGTACTGACCCGCGCAGTCTCGGCCGGGTCGCTTCCTCCATCGCCCTCCACCTGATGGGGAAGCATAAGCCTATCTATGACCCTTCCACCGACTGCGGTGACTACGTCGTCGCCGTGGGCTGTCACGATCTGAAGACCACCGGCAAAAAGCGCTTCCAGAAGAAGTACTACACCCACACGACCCGGCCCGGTAGCCTGCGGAGCATGACGATGGACATGATGTTCGAGAAATGGGGCGGTGGAGAGGTCCTACGACGAGCTGTTAAGGGAATGCTGCCCAAGAATCGCCTGCGGGAGAAGCGGTTAGCTAGGCTGAAGAGTATGTCTACCTTCCCCTCTCATTACTCGTTACTTTGCTATGGATGGTTTCTGCCATTGGTGATTGATTGAGTAATACATTGCTGACGGCGGATACAACATAGCTTTTGAGGGTCTGGCTCACCCTTACGAGCAGAATATCGTCAAGTTCGGGAATAAGTCGGTTATTGCGAATATGCCGGAGGTGAAGGAGGCGTTTAAGGAGGCCAAGCCTGAGGCCTAGTCTTGCTCTTCTCTCGTTCTCAGTTTCCGGGTAGCTCACAGATGGTCTACTGTATTTGTTCTTCTGTAATTTTATGGTTTTTGCTGTTTATATGCTAGCGCATGGGTGGGAGTTCTCTTTGATCTGTTTTGATATAACGTTTGGGTATCTCGTTTCCAGCTTCGGAAAGACTGTTCTTTGCATCGTCGTATCTACGATGCATTTGTATTATACGTGCCAAAGTGGAGAAGAGAGATAGAGAGAGAGAGAGAGAAAAAAAACACAAATAAATGCTATACCCTATCCCAGACTATATACAGGTTGCCTTGGAAACTCCGGAACTTGAGAATCTTGTGGTTTACAACTTGGACTTGAGAGACGACCGTCCGACGGTACATTTAATCAGACCATTAGGGTCTGACTGCGGAGCGAAGACTTCGGCATTCTTGCCGGTGTTCTGGAGGCCCTTGTGCCAGCTCAAGTCTAGAGAATATCAGTTAGCGAAAGCATGACAACAAGGACACCGTCAAATGCGAAACTTACCAACTTCGAAGTAGTGCTTGTTCGGCAACGAGTACTCGACAGACTCGACCAATGGCTGGCGCGCTAGGATCTGCTCCGCCATCTTGTACATGGTAGCCTGCACACTGGCGCTGTTATCCTCGGCAAATGTCTTGAGCGTGATCTCCCGCGCCGAAGCCCAGGTGGCGTCAAACTTGGGCGCCTGCGAGCGGACCTCGTCCAGACCGCTGAACCGCTTCCACTGCCAGGAGGCATCCACGTCGGTGCTCAGAATCCGGTCCCAGGTCTCCTTGAGCGTGGTGTACTCGTCCCGCAGGAAGCCCCAGAATTGCGAGCCGGTGCTCTTCAGTACAGTCAGCTTAGACAGCGACGACTTGATGTCGATACCCTGGCCTTCTGCTACGTCCACCTGCACAATCCGCTTCTCCTCACTGTCACGGACGAACGAGTGTGGGTGCGGCTTGCCGTCGATGTCCATGCGGGACCAGCGGTGGCAGATAATGTTGACATGCGCGGCATGGATGTGCTTGTACTTCTCGATGAAGTGAGTACCCAGGACGGAGCCGAACAGCTCGGGAGGGGTAACGGGGTTCTGCTTGGAGAGAATGTATATGGTGTTCTTGATGGAGTCTGTTGCAACAATGACACTGTTGTCGGCTTTGGTGTAACTGTTTGGTGTGCGTTAGTGTTATGTTCAGTCGGCGTGAATTCGAGAGGGACCTTACGAGGTCTCAATTTCTCCCTCCAGGAGCACACAGACAGTCATCTCATACACCGTCTGGACACCGGTGTTCTCATCCTTGTGGACTTTGTAGACACGGACGTTGTCCTTACCGTAGCGGGCTGCTGTTACTGCGGACATGTTGGAGTATAGGATGTAGGGTATAGCAGAAGGGATGGGACAGTGGCAAGGGAGGACTGAAGGTGGGAGTCACTGGAAGGAGTAAAGAAAGCAGTGAGAATATGGAGCAAGACAAAGAGGAGGTCCCTGGATGATCCTCACCAGCTTTTAAACTGGAGATGTAGGAAAAGAGAGACGGGAATGGTCTGATGAACAACGTCGGCCACCTCCGAAACCCGCGCTTTTCGACGGCCGCAGCCTTCCTTATCTTATCTTATCGATAATGAAGCTACAAAACCGATTCAAAACTCTCCCCAAACCCCCTCAAGGAGTTTCGTTTGTTTTGTTTTGTTTTGTTTTTTAACTTTCCTCTTCCGTTTTCCGCGGTTTATGATCCTATATATATGGATCAATGGCATACTCCAGGTCATAAAAATACCCCAATGCGTGTCCGTCCTATAAGCCACCTATCCATCATGTGAAATCGCATATGGTGGAAGGGGCCGCGGAATGTTTGCGCAATGATGGGTATGAGCAACTTGCGAACCATTCTCTCCTTTGAAGAGGAGAGAAAGACGGATGCTTTCTGTGATGTAGATTTGTGGGGTTCAATGGGGAGAAAACCAGCATTGCGGTCAATTAAAGACAGAGAAAAGGCGTGAGGAGATGGGGGCAGGTCGTTTTTACGTCTTTTTTATTTTCTCCGCTATTTTCAGCGGCGGCAAAATCTTCCAACTGTCACTCCTCGACACTCACCAACCACGCTTTCAAAGTCGACATGACCTCGCTCTTTTCAGGATGGTATAAACGCCCTCCATGGCTCTTACGATATCGTTCCTCGACCGTGTTCATCGTCGCGACGGTGTGGACGTCCTCGTTCACGGTAGGTGGCTGCTCGCTGAAAGTGTATGAAAAAAGGCATTGCTAACAATTCTCAAGGATTTCTTCCTATATGGCATGGTGAGCGAGGAGCTTGGCCCGAAAGATATGATGCCCCTACTTACAGCAGTTCCAGATTGTCCCTGTCATGCCAACAGCCCTGGTTGAACGCGCCGGTGTGCCATATCAAGACCGTACGTTCAGCTTGCATCTAGGCCAGCCACCACTCCTCATTGACTTCCTCCACAGGCGAGTACTGGGTTAGCGTTCTACTCATGTGCGAAGCCGCCGTCGCCTGTGTATGCTGCCCGATCTTCGGCTACATCGTCGATGTCTCGTCCACCCGCCAATTCCCCTACCTGCTCGGCCTGATCCTCCTTGGCGCTTCCATGATCCTCCTCTCAATCGCGCATACAGTGGAGTTGTTCGTCATCGCCAGATTGCTGCAAGGCGGTGCGACGGCCATGGTAGCTGTCGCGGGCCTATCCCTCCTGACGGACTCCGTCGCGTTCGATAATCTCGGCCAGGTGATCGGCTACCTAGGCTCATCTATCGCCATGGGGTTCCTGCTCGGCCCATTGCTAGGTGGACTCATCTACGATGCAGCGGGATACCCGGCTGTGTTCATATTGGCGTTCGCCATTGTCGGCGTGGATCTAATAATGCGGATTGCAGTGATCGAGAAGAAGGTTGCTCGTCAGTGGCTTCATGAGGACTCGGAGACGACACACTCAGGCACCAGCCCCCGTGGATACAATACTTTCAGCAACGCAGCACTACCACCGGGCTCTTACTCGCCCATATCGAAGAAGCCCGCTCTGTTTCTGATCATCCGTCAGCCGCGGGTCATGATCTCGTCATGGGCTCTCCTTGTCCACGGACTCTTATACTCCGCTTTCGACGCAGTACGTTATACTCCTTTTTCTAATCGGGTCCGCAATGAATAGATAGTAATACAATACAGACAATTCCCGTATTCGTTGAATCCCACTTCAACTGGGGCCCCTTAGGAGCAGGCCTATCATTCCTCCCCTCAGCCATAACCGCTCTCTTTGAGCCATACTTCGGTAAGACCTAACACAACCTACCCTCGGCAAAAGGACTCCTAAACTAAACAATCCCAACCCCCAAAAGGCCATCTATCAGACCGCTACGGCGCCCGCAGAATAACATTAATCGGCTTCTCCTTCCTCAGTATCCCCCTCGTCTGTCTCCGTTTCGTCGAACACCACACCACCGAGCACATGGTCCTACTAATCTCTCTCCTCACCTTAATCGGCCTCCTCATGAACCTATGCGTGCCAGCCCTATTCGTCGAAACCCAGCAGGTCCTCGACGGCATGGAGCGTGAGCAGCCCGGCATCTTCGGTAAAAAGGGCGCCGTGGCGCAGGCGTTCGGCGTGCAGACTATGGCGCAGTTCCTGGGCCTGTTCCTGGGCCCGTTGTGGGGTGGGTTCATTGAGTATCGGTTCGGGTGGAAGAATATGTCCTGGACGCTGGCTTTGTTGGCCGGGTTGACTGCTATTCCGATGCTGTGGCTGAGTGATGGGTGCGAGTCGGTGGTGGGGGAGGATGAGGAGAGAGAAAGGTTGGTGGATGGGGAGAGCGCGTAGGGTTGATGTTGGAGATGGGTATGTCTACGTGTACATTATGACTATCTATCTTGGGCATAGAATCATTTAGATACTAGATCAAAGTTAGGAAATGTTAGAGAATTGCAGAGTGATCATGTATACAGGTATGATTCTCAAATTGGTTTCTGGTCAAGGGGCAGTCTGAACCTATATAGTAATATAGCCCTTCCACCCAAGGGGAAGTCTGACATTATCCTGTTGTCAACATCCTTGCTTGTCAACTCGTCTCATCCAGAACAATATCTAAAAGAAAATAAGTAGTATCCACACGGCAAACCAAAACCCAACGTAACCCCAACAAACAATTAAAGAACTGTCCACGAACCCCGAACAGAACGAACTTATACATCCCAGTCCGATCCCAGCATCTACCTATATTGTATCTATACAGCTCCCACAACCCCCAAATGCCAACCCCAGTCCCAACCCAACCCTACCATGAAATCTCTACTCCCCCGTCCCAGGAGCATCCGCCCATACCTCCCCAAACCACCCATAGTAAGCTCTCCCACCTACCAGTCCTACCCTGCCCATGCCCCAGTTTTATGCTCTACACCACCATACAAATATATCCAACCAATCCCTAACCAAAGGCATACTAGTACCTAACCCAGGACTCTACCTACCACACCCTCTCCCAATGACCAACCCGAAAACAACGCTACCATCTCTCCCACGAATCCACCTCCCACCACGCCACGATCCTCTCCTTCCCGTTCCGCTACTTCCTCCCAGAAACCTACTTGGCCTCCACCCAGCGTGAGATCATCGACCTAGCAACTACTATCTCAGCCCTCGAGCCGGTACGCTTATACACCCGCCCGGAGGACGTGAGATCCGCGCAGGAATTGCTCAGCGAGAGATTTGCCCAGTGCAGTGGCAGTGGCGGCGCCGCAAGTCGAGAGCGGGTGCAAATCTGGCCGCGTTTGACGAACCATTGCTGGGTGTCTGGGGCCGGTGAAGTCTCCGATTCGATTGGAAGGGGGAGGGATTGAGTGGACGGGGAAGGCACGCTTCTTGCCACGGAGAGTAGTATCTTGTGTGAGGTGCGGAATCCGGGGTAGACAAAGGCGGAGGCGGAGGGGGAGTTGGGGAGGTTATTGGGGGTGAAAAACGTGGTTTGATCTCCGGGGCGGAGGAACTTGGATGTGACGGATTGTCATGCTGATGCGGAGGTGCACTTTGTTCGACCGGGGGTGGTGGTAGTGTCGCGGCCTTATTCACATCGGATGGGTTGGGAGAGTCGGTGGAATGAAGTGTATGAGGAGATCTGCGAGGCATTGGCTAGGGAGACGGACACCCGGGGTCGGAAGTTGAGTGTGAATGGGATGGATGAGCTGGATCCCCGGTATTTGGTGGGATCTTCTAGGGTGGAGGACGAGGATGCGCCGGCTGCTTCATATGTGAACTTCTACTTTGTAAATAGGGCGCTGATAGTGCTGGCCTTCGGGGATCCAACAGCAGATCAGGCGGCGGTTGAGATGTACCGTCATCTGGCGCCGGAGAGGACGGTGAGGACGGTGCTTGTCAATTCTCTTCCCCGGATGGGAGGCGTGTTGCATTGCGTGACGCAACAGATTCCCTTGCAGATATAGCTATACAAACAGGGCCACAGTAGAACATCTCCTCTCCCCAAAAAAAGTTGAATTCTGTACATCATCCACATTCTCTCTAAGACACAACATTTTATCGTATAATATCACACACCATACTTGATCGTTATCTGCTAATCCAAACATCCCCTCACAAAGTGTAACATGATTCATGTACAGGTTAGTCCAGGATATATCGGACTAGTGTCCAAACCCGCGAGAAGAAAAGGAAAGAAAAAGGGCCAGCAAAAGGTTTTCAGCGTCCAATCCGTCCAAGAACCAAACGCCGTGCATGCGCCAGCCGAAACTCCAAGAAAACATTTTAAGACCGTAGACGTCGTTCCAAGGTATATATAGAGGAAAATCACAGGCTCAACTGGTCGATACTTCCCACTCTACCGCTCCCACCTAATCGGCCTCCGCCCTTCGTCACCATCCCTAATCGATAGAAACGCTCCTCTCCGCCAGGCGTTCTCCCACCGATATACCATTTCTCTGGCCCGAGGGCGTCTCGGAATCCGCCCGATCCGTTGGAGCTGTCGCTCCCGCGTCGTTGGCGGTCCGGCCCATTGGCGATCGGAATCGGATTGGATGAAGCCGGGGTAGGCGGAGACGAAGGGGCTGGCGGGGTAGCCGAAGATGAGGACACCTGGGAGTCCCCGGTGGCAGATGATTGATTCAATGGCGATCTGGTATGGGAGTGGGGTCTGGAGTGGGACGCAGTTGCCGCAGAGGAAGCATGGTGGTGATGATAATGGGTCGTAGAGGCACTCTCCGAGGATGCCCCGGAGTTGCTTGCCTTTGTGGCTATGGCCCGGGCACTTTGGGATATCTGAGTCGACGAGAGAGACGAGGGGGTGCCAGTGGCCGCCTGAGAACCAGCAGCCGAGGCCTTATATGTTGACTGGGCGCGAAACGCCGCCAAAAAGTTGGCCAAGAATGGGCGGTTGGTGGACATGGTGATAGCAGACCAGACCAGTCTTACAGGTCGTAGGGAGCAGAGAGTCGTAGCATCAATCAAGGGCTGGGAGGGGAATGATTTTGGCGGTCAGATCGACCACAAGCCGCCGAGCGTTGTTGTATGTATTTGTATCTGTAGCCAAGGGCGGTTCCCCGCGGCGACGACAGGGTTCGAGAGGGTGTGTATGGTATAGATAGGACCTGAGTGGAGGTCGGCACAAGGGAAAGAATCATCCGAATTCCGGCGAAAGGGGAATGGTCAAGATCTTCCTAAAGAAAGAAAACCCCTGAAAGCTCGCGGCGCATCTGGGGTTGGATAGCAGTTCGGTGAGGATCGGCGAGTCTGCGACGAAGGATTTGAAAAGAGGAAGGCGCAAGAATATGGTCGAGAGTTCATCGATGTCTCCGAGGCATCCCGTGCCCGGGAGCCAATCAGGGGATGTGGATATCGTCTGGGGCAAAAGAAACTCAAGTGTGACGTCTTCAGGTTTTGGACTGGTCTTTTCCAATATTATGTATGGATATATATATATATATATATGTAGGTATATCCGGTTTTTTCTTATAGCTGCATAATGTGCTATCTTAAGAGAGTAAACTGAAGGGGTCATTAGTCGAAGAATCTCGACGATGACAAGATTGACAGCGCAAACCCCGAATACTATACCTTGGAGGGGGAAAAAGATACTAAAAAGAAACGTGGGGTTGGCTGGGTGTCCATGGTACTCCGGCCATCTGACTGATTCCATAGACTGGACTCTCTCCCCCTCCCCTCTCTATAGGGAATTGTCGGGTTCCACTATAATCCAAGTCACTGGACTTCCCTTTCAAACAAAAAAGGCAAACAGGGAACAGCATCCTCTGTCCTCGTCACGGGGTTGCTTCCCATCTTCCGAGTGGCACGATAACAATCTTACTCTCTCGTCGATATATTGTATATCCTGATAACTCAAACATCCCCGCTTACGTATGAACAACTCTGATTGATGGATTGATATTTTCATTTGGAATATGATTTTTCAGTGATTTTTTTAATTTCCTTCATTGTCCCTTTTCGCTTCGAGAATCTAATCCGATCGGAGTCTATATTCTAATTTTGGATTCCCTTGGCGTTGTTTTTGCTTTGATTCCACCCAAATGTTCTCTCCATCCAGCCTGGTCAACCGAGGATGACACAGGACCTGTCATAAAATCCCCCGCCAGAAGGTAATAAGAAGACACGAAAATGCAACCCAATAGACACAATCAGACAACCGACGTATAAGACATCATGGGGGGCTGACCAGGGGCGTACCCATCGACAAACGGGGTAACCCAGCCGCGACACGTATGAAGAAACAGATGGCTGCTACCTGTTTTTTTCACAAAATTCGAGCAGAGATGGAGGACGCAAAACACAGGAAGAAAGATGGAAAACACCATAACACACAAATCAGAAAAAGAAACAATTTTAACAAATCAAAAGAAACACCACGATCCAGCTCAAGTTCGTATGTCCGAGCGGAACATCTCGAATGTACTTACATGGTTGGTCGACATGCGAATTGTGAGGTCTATGCAGGGTCGACCAGTAATAGAACAGGTCACAATGCGAATCGCAACGAAGAGGCCTTCCCACGAATTCTTTTGGGGCACATTGCAAGCGAAATGATGCGAAAGGTGAACGAGAACACAAAAACAAGACGAACACATGCCCAGGTCTATTGTCGGACGCCGGAGAAAAACCACACACACCATCCCATCTGACCACTCATAATGGAAGAAAAGAAACAAAACTGAACCAGGACCACCACAAGAGATTGCACTCGCCGTATAAAAATGCTGACACAATTTTGAAACCCAACAAACCAGACGCAGGTGACCGTATTTCGTAAGGTGAAGAAGAAAAACTGGGAACCGAATGCGAGAACGCGAGCAACGTCGAATGATTGCGACAAAGATCGTACACGTAAAGTAGTGCTTCTTTGACTATTCTTTCTCCTGCTGATCCGCAGTTATCATGGTAACAATGCAGTTGGCGGTTGGAAGGCGCAGATTCTATTTAGTGACCCGTAAATCACTACGATAGGAATCGAGACGCGTTCCAGTCCTCAGCAGGCTGGAGAATCGAGTGAAAACAGCATCCGAAAACCAAGTATCTTGTTTTAAATCAAATCGACTGTACTCCACAAAAGCTCCATCTTAACTTGTACGAACGATTCCGGAAATCAGTAACGTAGTCGACTGCAACACAATCCGTTCGCCACTATTGCCTCGCCGGCTGGACAGTGCCTGTATTGATCGTGTGAGCCTAAAAGAACACCTTGACCGATCGAGAATGATCGTTTGAAGCGCATTTCACTCACCATCACCACTCAAAGTGGTCGAAGCCAGGTAAAGGCCGTTCATGTTCCCTTCCTGGGGGCCGCCGGTCGTGGTCGGATAGTATTTCCGCTCGGCATCAACGTGAGCGTGGATCGGCTCCTGGCCAGACGCCATGGATTGGGGGAAAACGGGGTTGATATAACCATCGTTGGCACCGGGCTGAAACATGGAAGTCCAGTCAATTTCGCCAGTGTGATTGGGAGTGGGCCCAGGCATGACTGGGCGCTTGGGGTCTTGGACGACCGGGGGCTTTACCTGTTCATAGGAAGGACGGTCAACACTCAGCTGCTGAGATACATCAGTGCCAGGTTGCGTGAGGTACGGGTTCTGCTTGGGAGCCGCCAGCCAGGGGCCTCTCTGATGTGGCTGACCAGCGGGGAACCCGTCGTCCGGTTGACCACGGTTCATCCCATTGACCGACGACATCGAAAAGCCCAGAGGCTGCTGATCCGTGAACCCAGGTCGGCCTGAAGCCAGCCCGTTGCCGTTCACGGCCCCCTCGCCGAAAGCCGTACCCGGAAGGCCAGTGGCAGGAGGGACAGTACTACTGACTTCATCCTGAACCGGTTTAGCAGGATTCGCAGCTTGAGACCTCTTCAAATGTGCCTGGGGATGCGACAAGTGGGTCGCTCCCGTCGGGTTGCCGCGTCGTAACGAACACTTCTGGAAGTGACGCTTCAGAATATCACTACGGGAGAAAGTGTCCTTGCAAAGAACACACATATATGGACGGTCACCAGTATCTGCGCGGAAAAGCAAAATCTGTCAGCCAAATCAAGAACTTTACACCATAGCTTCATGCTAGGTCCATTTTTTAACTTACGTCTGAGCAAGTGGCGCTTCAAGTGCTTCGCGTGAAGATAGGTCTTGTTACAGTGCGGGCAAGGGAATTTTCCATCCGCATCCTTGGCCGGGATTGTAGTATTCTTTGCCGTGCCATTGACGCCGTTAGTGACCGGAGTGGCGCGTCCCGGAACACTCGGGAGGATTCCGCGTCGACCTTGAGAGCCAACCACCTGAGTACGAGGTGGCTCCTTTGCACCGTAAGGCGAGGCACCGTTTGCGCCCGCAACGGGATCCGGGTTCATCCAAGGCGAGCCCTTGCCATCCGAGTAGCTGAACGCACCCGAGGGCATGCCAGAGAAGTCCGGCCGGCGGTCCCGCGGGGGCGCCGGTGCAATCGGCTGCGGATACGTCTGCGCACTGGAAGTGGGAGGCAGCACGCTGTGAGGAGGAGGATATTGCGAAGGCTGATGCTGCGCTTGCGGGTTGTGGTGGGAGAGGAAAGAAGATGGAGGCAAGCTACCCACGGTGGTGTGAGGCATGATAGGAGCGGTAGACGACGCGTAAACATCGTGAGTAGAAGTGGGATACCTCGACAGATCCGGCCTGTATGGCGGCTGGCCCATGTAGGAATGAGGGGCAGGAGATTGACTGTGATGAGGCTGCAGCGGGGGGAGAGTATGAGGCTGGGACACAGGGTACTGGGGCTGCATGGTGTACTGAGGCATTGGCATACTCGAGATAGTAGTCGGGAGAGGCGTGGAGCCTTGGGGTAAGCTGGTGGATGGGGGCCGTGAGGGATGAGATCTAGGATCCATCATGAAGCGGAGAGGATGTCAGAGGGATGAGGGGGTAATAGGGCTGAACTGGAGGTGAATTCACGGTATCCCGATCATCGATTGCAGAACGAGAAAACCCTTCTTTTTCGCCGGTTTGTCGTCTGACGAACAGGCAAATGCGATGCGTGTGCTCAAGACAGCCAATTCAAACTGCGAACCAGATACGGATCACTTTGTGCAGAGTTTTCCTTCGATAGTTGTTCTCCCTGATCTCGTTCTTCTCGTTCTTGCAACTTTTCTTCTGATTTTCCTCTTCCGACGGAATGAATCCTCCCACTTGACGCGGTGATAGGACGGGGGGATATGGAGACGTTCGGAGGGTAAATCAATCGGACAATCAATTCCTCAACCAGCAAACGCTCAAGGATCCTTGCAGTCGAAGATGGGGGCGTACAGGAACAAGTGCGACTCCACTGCAGAAAAGAAGTCAGGATGAGGTCGAGATGCTTAATCGTGAATTCCCCACGGTCACCCACCAGGAAAATCGAGTTGTGTGGGAACTTCTTTTTATCCGCACGTTGTCAACAGTCAATGGTTCTGATCCACCAGCGAGGCGGCGTGTATGTGGGTCTAACAACAACCAGCAGTACTAAGAAGGACAAAAAAAGCTGCTAGTGCTTCGCGTCAACAATGCGCGAAAGGGACCAGGATTTTCAAATGATACAATTTTAAGTATCAAATGAAAACTGCCAGGAACAGTGCGTACAGGAGCGGAGTCCACAACAAGTAGTATGAAGAAGGAAGAGAAAGGGGGGCGAAGGAGGAAAAAAGAAAAAGAAAAAGAATTGATAAAA